TGATCATTTTAGGAAGAAGACTCTCCAATACGACGAACTTTTGGAAACTACTGTAGCTGGACCGAGGGTTTACTGTAGTATTTAACTTTACCTAGAAAATAAAATGATAGAATTGATTTTATTTGAGCTCTATATTTTCACAGAACAAAGTAAACATTTAATTTTATAGCAGGTAATGGCAATAAGTGATCGATGATCGGCGATTTGTGGACCTCCGTGCCCTGGTTAACAGCATAAAGACGATAATTAAAACTGATGATATCATGAACGCCTCTGTAGTGAAATGGTTAGCGTAGCATTGCATTAAGCGCGAGAAGCCCTGGGTTCGAGTCTTGGGGAAACAATAAGTTGTTTCGGCAGGGCAGAGACGTTGGATCAACTACAAAGTAAAAAAAACCGTGCATGTTCGGGATTTTGCTTTTGACGAATGTTCAAATGCATTATAGGTCGACGGCGCATTTTTTAAAGGCTCATTGGTGTCAACTAATCATCTGGTTGTGAGTTCGTTCAACATGGCTCTAATGAAAATATGTTTCCAAATCTAGATAATAAATATATCTAAATTTTGTTCGGGTTGTAACACAAACACGACAGCGCATTTGTTTAGATGCTATATGGCTAGGGTATTTTACCATCAAGTGGCCATGCTTGTCTGTTCTTATCTATTATAAATACGTCTAAAAAATTCATAGGATTAGGCTTTCGTTGTGCAAAGATTACGTAAAACAGATTAATGCTGAAAAGGCTTGTAAATAGGTACGTTTGTAAATTGAATTTCTCGTTGAATCGAGGGCACAAGTTTGATATCAATAATAATTCGTAGAATTTGGGTCTGCCGCCTACGTTTATATAGAATCTTACTATAGAAGTGCCACAGTTTATAGATTCTTAGAGTAGCGAAATTGTTACGAGGAAAGGGGTTAAGAGTTATTTGAATTTTTCATGTAAGTTTTTCATTAATAATTAACTAAATATTGTTATTGATAGTGTCGAGAACAATACTCTTGACTATCATTATGGTAATTATCATATATATTGATAATTACAATTAAAATGTTTATTATATTACTTAAATTATATAACTACATGGATGAAAGACATTGTTTTTCTCTATTTTCGAGTAAATCAATAAGCGTCAATAAATACCAACACTTAAATTATTGCTGCTGTTTATATAAGAGAGATTCTAAAGAAATATTACAGAATACACAAAGAAATCAAAATATCCAAGGCCAAAATAAGCCGACAGACTCACCTCATTTAGATGTTATATGCCTGGACTATTTCACCCCGTGTTCTTATAAAATACAGGGTACATTACGGCATATTTATGAGTAACCAGAAATTACGCAACTGCTACAAGAATGTATGCCTTAAAAATTACCCACTGAATACATTCTATAGACTGCATTGGTGCGATTCATTCTGAAGGCACCAGTTGCTCCATGAATGGTTCATTCAATACTCGCGGCCGCAGCGCGCAGGCGCGCTATCGATCCGGCGCGCGCAAGAGGCCGAAGGGGGCATCTTACAAGTGCGGGTGCGAGGGGGGGAGAATATCCCACCCGTAGAGTACACTTACAATTCTATGACATATTTTTGGGGATCCAATCAAACTGACCCAGGGCCTTCCTACACATTACATTTTTCATATTACATTCTACTGAAGGTAGCTAATTTAAATAAAACACTTTCAACGGTTTAAAGCGCGAAATCTATAAGTTAAGTACGGCTTAACCAGTTGAGAGTATTTTATTTACATTCATAATGTACATGAAGGCCATAAGGGTTAGCTTGATTGGAAAACCTGAAATGTGTTAGCGAAACTTATTTTAAGTTCAAATAAATAGATTACGCGTTTTAAACCGTTAAGTGTGTTTTATTTGATTGAGTAGTATACATATAAATAAAACACTTTTAAACTACTAACGAAAATGCGTAAAATACAGAGGGTAGCTAAGCTTAAGGTATTATCTCTATTTTTTGAAATCCCGTTTCCCCAGGCATGGATTATATTTTTGTGTCCGTTTCCTGATCAATTTATAGGCAAGATGTGAACTGTGTCTTGTCAGACCGACACTATTGTACCGTTTCCCTAAGGTAAGGTTCTCCTCATTAGCCTCCCAGAATATAAATCTTATAATTTTATGAGGTTTGGATTTGAGTTAGCTTTGCACAGTTCCAATTCTGTAGTACATACACTCGCATCTCATATAAATTTATTCTGAAACATTAATCTTGTGACCTACTGTTATTAACTTAAGTGAGTTGTTGTTGTTGTTCCTCGATAAATGCTCTAACCATCACAAAAAATATTTTTTCAATTCGAGCCCGTGGTTTGAGATTGGCGCGTTCAAACAAACGAACTCTTCAGTTTTATATATTAGTACTAGCTGAGCCGGCTAACGTTGTTTTGCCATATAAATAATTTTACTAAAATGTCTATTAAAAAATAAGGGTTGATCGTAGAAGGGTGAAAATTGAGGACTTTGCCTAAAAACAAATAAAAATAAGGGTGAACGACCCTTATCACTTAGGGGGATGAAAAATAGATGTTGTCCTATTCTCAGACCTACTGAATACACATATCAAATTTGGTGAAAATCGGTCGAGCCGTTTCGGAGGAGTTCAAGTTCGAACACTGCGAGAATTTTATATATTAGATAGATTAGTTGACTCATTTTTAATTTATGCTCTGCAGCTGTGGTCATAGGCGTATTTCGTGAGTTGTTGACCAGACTTTCGTTCCTTGAGTGAACAATTTATTTTTTCGCCCGATTACTCTATCCCACGTCACACTGGCCCGGGGGACGTGGGGGTTTATAAACGTATTTATTAATATATTATTCAAGTAAAAAAGGACACTTCATGTTTCTTTGTTAGAGAATAGAGAATAGAGACTTAACAAGGCTACGTAGTATCTTTCTAAAGTATTATTGAATGATTGTCCTGTAAATGTAAATAAAAAGAAAGAATTAATTTGTATGTAGAGACGAAATGAAAACAAATTATACTTTTATATTCTCATTTTATTCCTAGAACTCATGAGGTAAGCAATACTAAACTAACCAATCGTATTAATCTCAAACAGTTATAATTCAATCAATTATATAAAATATTCAAAAATTTTGTACGTTTAAACTCCACTTGAATACTTTGACACTAATTAAAATTAATTTACACTAAACGTTAAGTTAAATAAATGAGTATACACTTACAATAAAGAATTGTGAAAGACAAACAAGGAGAACGCAGTAAAACAACATAACGAAATAACAACCAATAATACATAATATGATGTCTGTCAATAAATACTATAATATATTAGATATCAATTGTGACCGAGGAAATTAAATATATGCAATTTACAATTATAAAGGTCCTTACACACTGAGCGGTAAACCGCTTGGTGTATATAGACCCTTAGATATCATACCGCACAGTACAAACACATTTTCGATCACACTTTATAAATATAATTGCGCGAGAGGTGCATATATCAATAAGTTGAAAAAATTCGACGATGAGTTATTGATAATTGAGCTACCGAGTCCCACGCATCAGGTGAGGGACTCGGTAGCTCAATTGGTTAGACACCGGAACGCTGACGATGCCGGTTCAAGTCACCTGACCGAGTCGAAAATTTTTTCATTTAATTTTCGATTTTTAATAAATATAATACATATTTTCTCTGTCGTGTGGCAATTGCGAAAACATAAATAATAAAAATACTAATAAAAAATCACTGAAAAATTCGGCGTGAACAACTAATTAATTATTAATAGTAACTTGAGACGATGACTAAAAAATATGGCACGGCCTTAGTAAGAGTAAAGAGAAGATTGAGGAAGTGAGCAATAGGAACAGAAAAGAACTTAACCTACGAGAGAATACTGATTTACACTAAGTTAGGTTTGGTCGGAGTCGGTCGGAACCAGAGTCTAAGTCTAAAGGAATGGCCGGGAGCAAGGAATGCTATGGTCTGGTCTGCGAGTCTAATACTGCTTCGAATTTAAACACTAAACGGATATGGCATCATATGGCTACCTCATGGATCACAAATAAGCACTCTTTACAATTTCAATATGATTTTTACCAATAATAGTCATAACAAATACTAACATACTTTTGTAATAATATATTTCTTATTTACAGTTTATAAATTGTATTTTTTTTCTCTCTTCTAAATATGATTTTTTATATAAATTTTTCCCTTTTGTATAACTACTGGCTTATGATAGTTTCATGTATTTCAGAAGCTACTGGACTTAAAATCGCTGTCTGTAATTTACGCGAATGTACACATTCAAATTGAACACTTTTAACGGTTTAAAACGTGAAATATAATAGTAACTTATCTTTATTCAAACGGTCACAGGACCACATAATAAGTTGCCAAATATATTTCGCATTTTAAACCGTACGAACTATTTGTACATATCAAAGGCGTCTACTAGTTTGAAATCATGAAACTATGCACAGTACACATCTACAGTATTGTCACTAACGCGAGGCACAAAACGGCGTTTTTAACCCAATTTATTGCCATCGTTACGAATTTTTACGAGTCCTAAATTAATAATACTTTCCGTAAAAATGTCTTTTCGGGGCTCACAATAAATATACTCTATAACTATCAACTACAATTGGTCGGGTTTTAGGAGAATCACGCAGCACTCACTGTTCTCACGCATACTTCGTATAAAATGCTTCTCGTAAAGTGAAATTCTAAATAAATTATTGTTTGAAGTCCAAGTCTTTTAGTTAATTTTGGCACAGTTTCAGCCGTTTAAAAGTTCAGAAACTATTTTGCGACTAAGGCACAATGTCGAACTACTTTGACACTTTGACAATTTACAGTTAATAATTCTAAACTAATTCATTTTATGCATCACAACGAGTCAGTGATCTTAGACGTTTAATGCCACAAGAGCATACATTGATTTACACTTGTCAAAGCTCACGAATATAAACGCTTTGACATCGTCCGTTATGAAGGGTCAGTTGAGGGCACTGGTAGACGGGCCAAGGTTCGCTTCCTGGTGCTTGTATTTGTGTGACGTCATTTGAGATAGGCCGAGAACAGCAAAGCCGCATTGGAGACAGTGGTAGTGGGTTTGCTTCTTGCTGTGAATGCACTGTGGTTCGTACCCGCAACCTGTGAAAAATATTACAGTGAAAATTATGTAAGACAAATGACAACTTATACAAATAGTGCCAGTAGATATAAAAACATTGTGTAATTTTTAAATATTTTGGAACGGTTACAGTAATTAGATTCATGCTATATATAGCATGAAGTACTTTAATTATAATAAAGAAGTATCAATTAAAAATCTATTTAGAAAACATGATGGCATTATATAAATTAGGTACCAAAAGTAACTCGGTTAGAGCAACCGGTTGCCGAGTCAAGTCCTGCTTGTGTCACATTTCTTGACTTGAACCGGTGTCCACAGCGTTCCGTGCTGATCTAACTGAGCTACCGAGTCCTAGTTGATTTCTAAACTTTTATAATGTCATCATGTGCGAGAAATATTAAATGTCTTTAAAAGTAGTATCGTTAATTTGGTAAAAAATACAATTAATATTGTCTAATGAACCACCGCCTTATGCGTTTGCGATCGGTAATTGTGTCAGTCGTATAAATTTGATACAAAAATACACAATATAAGATTCACTTCAAAAAATAAACAGAATTGGTAATATTTAAATACAACACCTTAATGGTTTAAAACGCGATATATATTAGTTACTTTTGAGAATTTTTTTAATTACTGTCGTCACGGTGATACGGCTAACTTGTGACTTTAACTAAAATATATCGCGTTTTAAACCGTTAAAGCGTCTTATTTAAATGTGTACTACGACAGTATAGAAAAGGTAATGTATATAGTTATATTTCATCTCTTTTTTCAAGAACTTTAGGCACTTATCGCAACCATTTAAGGCTTTTACTCACTTTTGCTTGGCGGGAACTTCTCGAACCCAGCTGCCTGGATGGAGTCAAGTTTCTGGTGTTGTCGCCGATGCGCCACCACCTTATTTGTGTCCGTACAAGTGAAGTCGCACTTGAGACAATGGAAGTGGGAGGCTTTGTTTTGACCTGTTCCTGGAAGAGTGTTTAGTGATGTATTATGTGTTTAAGACACTACTTAATATAGTTCAAAGTAGGTTACTATGATGTACTTATTGGTAGACTATATTCATCTTTTCTTAGAGAAAAGGAACACAGGATTACAGATTGGTGTCCAAAGGAAGACTAGTAAAAAGGGGGAAGAGAGAGACACTCTTAGTTAAATAAAGCTGGAGATAGTAGCTACATAAAGAACAATTTGAAACACTAATAAATTGTGTAAGGCTTTCACGGCCATTATTCAGCATATCATTGTCTTTCGGGCTGTTCGGCCGATGTGAGCGAGAAGAGGTTCTCGACGTTTTGCCATCACGTGTGGACGGCGTCATCAGGAGATGTTGACTCCTCGATGCTCCTTTAAGTCCCTTTATTATATTTTGATTTGATTTGAAATAATTTACATTTAGAGCAATAGTTGAGTTTAGTTTAGTTTAGACTGAAAAAAAGAGAAGTTCTCCTTTTCCTTCTAGATCAGTTCTACTAGTCTTCCTTATATACTTAGAATGAAGGTACAAAAATATGCTGAATAGCTTAGATGATAATTTCATAGTTGAAATGATATTTATAAAAACATAGTTTACCAAATGTGGACGCATGTGGACATTCTGGTCGCTGACAGTAGACATTAGCGCGGTACTGTTGGAAGTCTCCGCCCATGAGAGTATCCAATCTGAAAAAACGGTATAATATTAATCATCTTCATTTTCGTAAAACAATTGTTAAACATGGTAATTCTGATTGTATGTAGCACATATCCAAAGCCAAAATAGGGCGACAGCAGATCCTGTTTAAATATTATATGGCCGGGGTATTTCAACTTCCATCAAGCGAATCCACTGCTTGTCTGTCTCTCTATCATAAAAAAATATATATACCTCTCATGTCGGGCTGTGTGTTGAACGAATCTGGTCTTATCACAGAAGGAGTATCCACAATCTTTTCGGGTGCAGTGGAAGTGGGTTTGATGTTCTCTGAAAGAATAAATTAATTTTATATTAAGACTATGTTGTGTTTCCAACTCTCCTTATTAAAGAAATACATTTTTAAACTTATTGATAGAGAACTTCTTCTTCTGGTATTAAACTGGTGATTTTTAAATGTGGACGACATCATCACATTTTTCTCGTTCCTCGACTAAGCGAAAGGAACTTAAAGCAAATTTATCTTTTCGTAAGTTTCAAACATTTATTGGTTATCCCTAAGAATAACTAATGCAATATACTTCTATATTATGTAAAAAGAATTACCTGTATCCACATTGCTGATAAGCGCAATCTTCATTGAATCTGAACCTCAAGTAACCTTCCGGTATGGGTTCATCCTTCAAGACCCGCATGTGCGGACCTCTTGCGCCGGTACTGCGTCTGCTACGGTAAGAAAAGCTTAATTAGAATTTAAAATGACACTTGGCGAATAATCAACGGATCGTGGGTTTATCATGTTTTTTCTGAAACATGTTGGAAACTTCGTTGAGAAATCTGGATACTAAATGGGTGACGTAAGGTACAGGCAAAAAATATGTAAAGCTTCAGCTTTCAGTTTCAGCCTGTGGATTTTCGAATACAAGAAGAGGAAGTTGGTCGGCAGCGCATCTTGCTTAGATGCTATAGGCTGCGATATATCACCTACCAACAAGTGAACCGACTGTCTGTCCTCTTTTGTCATTAATAAAAGATGAAGAAGAAAGGATGTAACGAATATAAAAATTTACTTACGATTTAGCTATAAGTTCAGCTTCTTTATCCAGACCTGGTGGTAATCCATGCGTCTGCAGTAGACTTTGTTCGAGAAGCAATTCTGGAGGGTACATCATTGGAGGATACATGGGGAAGGGAGAACCACTGTAAGAAAACAACAAAGATTAAAATATTTGCTAAAAGAATTGTACCAAGATATTCTAAAGAATTTCACTTACCCTTGAGAGAACAGAGCCAGCCCAGGCAGACCCAATGATGCAGTGTACTGTTGTTGCATCTTAAGCTGTTCTTGCAAGCTTCCTTTGCGACCCCCTGAGAGATACTGCTGTAATAACAAACTCTGAACTGCCTGCACCTGAAGAAATAAAAAGTTATTTTAAATTAAGGAAGAAAACTAACTCTAGCAAAACTTGTCCTATTAAAAGTGAATTCTTGTTTAATTATATTATTATTCAAGTTTATTAAATTATCAAACTGTTGTTTAAGGCAAAGCTAGGCGTAGGTATAATTATTATTTTTTTATGTAAATAGATATGTGATTATTGTCAGTTACCTGTTCAGCGGGATTTGGTGGTCTCTGACTGGGAGAAGGCACCTGAGGCGCAGTTGATGATGTAGCTGTTGACGGTAAGATAGATATTTCTGGGTATTCTCGTTCCAGTGTCTCCTGAAATAAGTTAAAATCTTAAGACTTTTAAATAACACTTGCATCATATATAAAAATTAAATATACTGTTCGTAAAAACGGAGTTAAAATTTGAAATATGTTTACCTTAGTGGCAGCAAGTCCGATCGGTCCAGTTTCTATGACATTACTGTGTTTCTTCACCATGTGGCTAAAGAGTAACTTCAGGTCCACATAAGCTTGTCCACAATGCGGGCAGTGGTAGTGAAGGTTCATACCACCAGATTTATTCAGCGGACAGGACTGATCGTGGCAGGACGGTGGAATAGTCGGGCCTGGCTTTTCCTTTTCAAGGCGTTTGTCTTTGGACGGAGATGCGTCGTAAATGCTTCTGGGAGACGATGTGTTGCTGCGGAGGTGTGATGATGGATAGAAGGTTCCTGCCGCTTTTACTACTGAAATCAACATAGACTAGTATGATTAAAAAACAAAACAAAAAACAATTGAATGACCTTAGCTTAAAATTCTTTGTTAGGTGTGATTTCGATTGAAGATTCGGATTCGAGCAACAAAATAACTTCAGCACTATTTTTACCTTGCCAGACATTTAATTATAATATAGAAAAATACGTACCTGAAACATTATCCTGATTTTCAAATTCGTTCTTGATAACGAAGTTTGGTGTAAATTCTTCCTTTATAGATCCAACGCTATCCGCAGACGCTCTCTCTTTAGTCGAATAGTCTTTGGCTTCTTCGAACTGCTTCTCCTCTTCACATTTAATGGGAGTACCTCTACCGTGTTTGTGAGTGGCTAGTGCTGAATATTGCGTTAGAATTGCTGGGCAATTGTTGCCTTGCGCACAATGAAAATGATTGCGCAGCTGGTTTTTGAAACAGCTTTTCCCGCCGCAGTGTTCGTAAGATGAAAAGTAGTCGAAGCCTTCTAGAAGTGGCGATATGGAGTGTGATTCTCTCATATGGGTTTCCATGGTAACGTGGGTTTCACCAGTAAAGCTGCAGTTAAAGCAGTGTAGGTGCAATCTGGTATGACGCAGGGGACAATTCGCATAATATTGGCTACAGATGTCTGGTGATGTAAATACTTCGAAATGCTGGAAGCGGATGCGCTGTAACAAACAATCATTGTAGTAATAATTAAGTGATTCGATGCCCCTGTGGGGCTGGTGAACACATTTCTGTGTCCGTTTCTCTGATTTTTAATTTTATTTAGAGATTAGTAATATCCTAAACAACAATATTTTTCTTTAGCTTCATACTTTTCATCATAGTTTTTAAGTATTTTAGTAGTTATATATTTAAAAAAGGAACTTACAGGGAACTCTTCGACTGTTGTTATAACTGGTGAATGGATCGCTGGTGGCATTTGGTTGCTCTTTGGCAATTTGAAAGACGTGAATATAGCCTGTGGTGTTACCTGAAAAACAATAGAAGAATAGTTAGGAATGATTCAACGGACTCGTTGGGACAACACTAGTACCACAAAAGGAATGCTTACATTGTCTGTCCAAACTTCAACGACACGATTCTTTGGTGGTCTTCCTCGTTTCCTGCTAAACATTTCATCTAAAGAACTTGACGGGTTCACGTGTTGTTGTACTGGGCTAGCTCCGAGATTCAATTGAGCTTGTAAGTTCGGTAGCTGCGGGCCAAGATTTGGTGCCATTTGAGCCAATTGCGCCAAGTTTGGCGGCAGATTTGGTAGACTCGGCACTTGAAGTTGAGCAGCTACATTTGGATGTAACTGGGCGGATAATTGAGGTGTAAAGTTTGGAGCGAACCTAGCCGCTAAATTCGGGGACATGGGGCTCAAAATTGCATGCTGCCTGTGATGCTCTAGACGTCTGAAGGGCTGTTCTTCTGATGATAGAATGACAGCTCCACAATTTTCCTGAAAGAAGCAAAATTAATATTAAAAAAGGAAAAACAATATATAGCGGTAGAAGATGTATCTTGTTAGATTCCCGATTTATAGGAAAGGAAAAGGTTATATATACATCAACATTTAAAGTAAAACAGACTCATAATTGGGTCTGCCTCACTCCCACCACAGAGGACTCCAACTTCCTAATAAAATTTAAATTGATTTTAAATTTAACTACTACTAATATTTACAATACTTACCCAGGTACAGTGATAGTGGGTAATGTCTCGAATGTGTTGACAAGCAGAGTTTGAGCATGGGTTGTTTCGAGTGTAAGTAACAAAGTAAGCCTCTGTCACTTGGTTCTGCTGTTCGTGTTCGAGTACATGCTTCACCATTGTGTTGTGGCAACTGGAATATGTCAAAAAAAAATATAAAATTATTTTATCGGAATATAATAATAATAAACCTTTGACAGTTTAAAACACTAAATCTATTAATTGGTCATTACTGTGACCTAAAATTAACTTTGCACGTAGTAACTCTCATAGCGCAAACGGGCTAGGCACGGGAGAGTTAAATTCTTGGGAATAAAACAATTACCTTTATAAGCAGTTAGTCAAGATATAAAACTAATTAATAATAAGATGGGTATACAGGAAAAGGTAATGTATTATATTATTGTCTGTAGCTTTGCGCGGAGTCTAAGTTACATCTGCTTCAAGAGATGGAGTTGGTGTCGCAGATTTTGCGTCGACATTAGGGATATCGTTCAACTTCAATCAGTCGAAAAGGAACCTATTAAAATAAGCGAAAATAAGTTTAAGCAATATATTTTGCTTTTTAACCAATTAAAAATGTTTTAAACAAATATAATCTGCAATCCTGATTTATAAATTCAACAATTACCTGTGAGCCATCTTGCATCCTTCAGCTAAGCAGTGATAATGTTTGTTAAGAGCGCTGCATTTGGTACATTTGTCTTCTGCCTCTTTCCCACCAGTAAAGGTTTCTATATACTTTCGGCACAACTCCTCAATTACTGCAGGATTCTGGAGAATCGAAGGAAAATAATTACGGTCGAGCCAACATTTACTTACGAGTATATATTACGATTGCTTACGAGTATAGTTTCAAGATCTTTAATCGGAAACCGTTAATTAGTAGTCAACTCACAGTTACTTTTTTACTCCATTATAACCGAAGTTCGGTTTCGGATAAAGTAAACTCGGACCATCTCTAAAAGTTATGTAATGAAAATATTAAGATTATCAGCTAATTAATAAAATGCACTCACATAGGAATGAGGGTAGTCTCCATCCATTCCTGACAAATCATCCTCAATCTGCAGATTAGCAGTTGGGGAGTACATGCTCAAATCAGCTCCCTGCTGCATCAGTGCGCTTTGAATAACCGATGTTGGTAATCTAAAAAAAAATAATCATTATTAATACGTAAGCTAGTTTTACTTTTTTAATATACACTATAATATAAGAAATAAAAAGAAACACATGTCAATTAGATTTACCAGATAAACAAGAGATCGCGCACTAGTCAATTAAATTATAGTAAGTTTATATATATATAGTATATATAGTTTATATATATATACCACACTTTTAACGGATTAAAATACAAAATATAGTACTTCGTTATTTTGAATATCCTCACGGTTGTTACTTCAAAGCAAGCACAAGTTGCTGCAAAGTATTTGGAGCGTCAGTCGTAGTTAGGAATAAGTAAACTAATGTATATCGCGTTTGAAACTGTCAAAAGTGTTTTATTTAAATTACAGATAATGCGGTACGAATTCTTTCTCATATAATTTCAATGACTGCTGTAAATTTAGTATAATTATAGTACATTAACAGATTTTCGAATGTCCAGAGGTAAAATAGGGAATATGAAACCCCATGTTTATGTGTTTCTGTCATAAACAAAAACAACTATTCATCCAAACCTACCCAAAGTTCATTTCTTGTTCCTTCCTCTCGTGCTTCCGTTTGTGCGTGAAGATTTGGCTGCTGGAGTGTAGCACGTAGTTGCAGTGTGGTCTGATGCAGTGGATGTGGTTGCAGGTCCTGCTGAAGCGACATTCGCGGAACGGACACGCCTCGTTTTTCATGTACTTCTTGAAGCCATCCTTCGAGAGAGCTTCGTCTTTGATGTGGTAGGTCTTGTGCTTTTCTGTAAAGAGTATACCAAAATTGAATAAGTAAAGAGTTGTGAGGACAAATAAGTGAAATTTCTTTTCCCCCTGAATTCCCTTAATGAGGTGAGAAAACATTTCATTGTACGATCCATTGGCTTTATTTACAACATCACGATGGGAACAGTTGTTCTTTCGCCAGGATTCAAACTCAGGACGTCTTCGTTTTCAACACGATGCTAGGCATTGAGTCGACACTCAATTTTAGCTTTGGATATTCGGAAATCCAAAGACTAATCGAAATTTGATTTTACTTCACTGTTTTTGCACGTGTGTGTTCCGGACGGAATTTTTAAATATTCTTCCACTTATTTAATATCCAATTTTCTATATGAAAACCAATAATATCAGAAAATTAACAAACACGCTAGACGGTGAAGATCAAACCCATCGCTTAGGAAAACTTAGAATCAAAATTGAAACCTATTTAATAATATTTGAAAACGACTCTAGAATATAAAGGAACACTTGCTCTATATGCCATCACCTTAAATAAAAAAGGGCATATATATTTTTAGAGCTTGTACTCTAAAAAAGAAAAGTTACATACCCATATCTGCCTTGTTCTTGAAGGTATAGGTGCATCCAGGCCGTCTGCAATGGAAATGCGTGGTCCGCTGGCCAGCGAAGATACAATGCGGCGCGGCACAGCTTTCAGTAGCACGAAACCTCTGGAAACCCTCCTGGAGGATCGCCGAGTCCTTTCGATGGTAGTTCGCGTGCATTTGTACATCTGAAGTCGAAATGTACACCTGGAAAATGTTAAAGGTGAAATTGCGATACAGAGGACATGTAGCAAGGACTTCTTCAAGGTCTATTATTTATGTATCCTTTTCGATCGATTTTGGACCTCTTCGCTTGATGCAATGCTGGGTTTAAAGTATGTAACAGCTAAGGTAGATAATTTATTTTTTTAGTATCACTATAATTATTATAATTCAAGTGGTGGTAGATATTAAAACCCCCCTACCCTAAACCATCTCAGAGAGAGCTGTCTCTCTTTTGCGAGAGTCGCGATATACAGCCGTGATCACGGGGATACCACGGCTGTATATCGCGTTTGAAAGTAAAGTGTTCGACACCGTATTTTAGCATTTTCTTCTATCATACTAAAGTACATACCTTATCACACCCATCTTGGATGCAGTGGTAGTGGGTTTGACTACGATTATGAGGACAGTCTGAGAACCGCTCTGAACAATCGTCGAGAGGAGAATACCTCATGAAGCCGTGCGCAAGAGATTCGTCGCGTTTCTTGTGCCACTGTACATAAAAATATACTTAAATTAGATATAATAATTTAAAGGGTGAATGGATCGTTGACCTAGTGGTAACCTAGCAGATCACGTGATCCCGGGTTTGAAACCTGGATAGGGCAACATCTTGCTTAGATAGTAGTTTGTTCTAAAAAATTAAAATCCCAATGTTTGATAGTTGAAAGTCATCATCCCCACACTGGCCTATAGGTGGCAGTAGTTGTCAAGGTCCGCTAACCAACACTGCGTCTAAGCTCCTAAACTTAATTATTTTAGGGTAGGTAAGTTTGTTACTTGTATAAAAAATTAATATATGGACCTTAAAATGTCTAATCATCTCTTCCTTCTTGCAAAAGACCCTGGCTGTGCAGTCCATGCAGTGGAAATGCTCTCGGTAGCCCAGATCCTTGCAGTATGACGATCCACATTCTAGTGTTGAACTATATCTGAAATTGAAGAAAACCTTTATTATTGTGTCTTTGAAATTAACAATTGAGATATTGTATTTTTCATCTTGAGGTCTAAGTTCACCAAGAAATAATGACATAGTTTAAAGTGACAACCAACCGAAGAATTCTCGTTAAGCAACAAAAATATAATATTGACAGCCGCTTTCATTCAGTCATTATTTTTAGTGAGTTTTAAAAGTCCGCCAGTTGCGCACGAGCAGCGCAATCACATATTTATCCACTGCTAGAAGTCTGTAGTCTGAGCGTAGTCTTAACAAGGTAATACATTAATAAATTTTGGTAGCCAAGCAATAGAGTTAGCGTATAATAATAATACCTTTTTACATAACGAGAGTAGTCGACGTTGGATTGTAGAGAGTTCTTCCTTGCTTGATCCAAATGATTCAAAGCTGACAGCAAACCTGAAAAAAAAATTAATCAATAAGAAAGTAGTTTCAGGAACAAAATGTAAAAAATTATCAAAAACTTGTTTATATTAAAAATCTTTAAGTTAAAATTAAAAACACTATACGAAATATAATTCAAGAAGAAACAGACGATATTGTTCATGAAGCCAATCTGATTTATGAGTACTAACAACAATTGATTTAAGCGGTGTTTAAGATGCATAAAGGATGCATAGGAATTTTTGTAAGTAAAATTAATAAATAAATAAACAATAAATAAATAAATAAAAAATAGGCCGTCAGAAGGTTAATTAAAGTAGAATTTTCAATTGACGAACAATACTTTCCAAAATATTGTAATTCTAAATGCAACCTAACTTAACTTAGTTTTAAATTGATTAACTATGTATATTATTTAATAGATTTTTATGATAGTGAACAGATAAGCATAGGTTCAACCTTTTTTGACTTTGGATAGATATATAAAGCTAAGAACCTACTTCGCTTAAAAAAAGAGATTCATTATCTGTAATAGAACTTCCTCAGTCATAACAATTATTTCGAGAATAACAACTCCGAAACACAAAACATCTCGAACGATTCTTTTCCAAATCTCATTCTTTTGTTTGAAACAGCTAAATCACGTCCATGCATCATATTCAAACGAACAATGTACTGTTTTCATCGCATACGAAATATTTAATAACCCGAGTCACTATCAAGTACGTCTATTTAGGGCGATTGTATTGTAGCGTTTGTACCGCTGGATAACCGATTTAACATACATTTTAACAATAATACAATAAAATTAAATACTGTCCCGTGACCACGGCTTCAGCAAGCATCCGAAACGTCGGGCTGTAGTTAAAATAATGTTCAAATAAGTTTAACTAATATATTTTTCACGTTTGAAACCGTTAAAGTTGTTTATTTAAATAATATCAGATTGCATCAAAATATTTTAACCGATTAAAATATTTTGAATTATAATATTTTGAAGTCGCACTGTTTTCATCTTCGTGTGCGCGGAGCCTAACGCGGCGTGTTCTAGTTCAAAAGGGGCAACTCGTTCGTAACCGGCCCCTCCCCGTATCAAGTTTTTGAGTATCAAATAAATTATTATGGTAATTAATCAATGTTTTCTCCTAGTCACTCGCCGTGGTACTGCGACGTCTGAGCGATCGCTACGTACATTACATCACACGAGTGTTTTTGTTGAAAAACCTTTTTGTTACGATTGTACGTTTTGATAAATATTCGGTTGGATTGCTTTTTTGTTTCAACTTATAATTACAATGCTTTATGTGTATATACGTTTAAAATTTGCATGTACAAAAAAATCCTAAATAGTCCAACACCGTTACGTAATAATTAAATTCATGGCCAGTTACTTCAAAAGTAAGAGATCGTGAATTCACACCCTGGAGATATAAGAGACCAACACAACAGGATTTATACAAACAATTTAAATAGAGGAGGATAGGCGAGCATGGGTTTCACCCGATGAAAGGAGAAATACCTCGGTCATATAAATCTTTACTAGATACGATGTCGACCTATTATGGCTTCGAAAATCTACACACATTTTTATCTGTAGGTAGTGGTTCGTGACCCGGACAGAATGTCGACATTCCTACCCACTACAAGTCCAACATGTTTTAAAAATATATATTTTAGACCTAGTGGGGATCGAACCCAAGACCCTAGCCCGTCAAAAAAGTAATATAACCTTTAGTCGGTCACTGTAATATTATGGAATATAAAAATAATGCTTCAATATAAAGACGTATAATTGCTAAGCGGTGTTCACACATCAAATGTTCCTCATTACTTGTAATAAATCCTCCGACCACGTAGCTATTGAGTTTTCTATACAATTTTCGCACAATCACTTATAAAATCGTGAGCCATTAAGGCGGAAACAAGAACAAGTGATCTCTCTACTTCATTAATAATAAGCTCTCTAAAATCTCGCCTATTATTACTGTGCACAAGGCCGGATTCACAACGTGTCGGGCCTTACAGTGCGCTAGAGGCCCTGGTAAACAACATACGTTTGAAATAAAATATATGTCTGTTTTAGCAACAATTCATTCTTAGCTACATAAAACGAGTATTGTCCGGAGTTCACGAGTAGTACATTTAAATGAAACAATTTTAACGGATTTAAAATACGAAATACATTAGTTAAATTTTTCTCGAATTTAACTACGCCTGACGCGATCACAAGAGGACTAAGTTAAATATATTTCGCGTTTAAAACCAATAAAATGTATTACTTAAATATATCGATTGAACTACGACAAAGCTAACTGTTTTATAACTCCCGACTACTCAAGTTAGTTTTAAGTGTCTCCTAATGCGAAACAAACATCGTTTGATCCATCAATTTATGAAACTCTTTCGAATTTATAATACCGGTTACTCTCGCAATACTAAAACTGAAATATGTCGTTCGAATCCGGCCCTGTCGTCTTATGTAACCTAGAATTATCTGTCCGTATGTTAACATCTATTGTGTACTATCTACATAAGTATAGGTATTAATCCGTCTTAGAAAACTGTTCTTTAAAAATTCGTGTTTCACAACACGGGTTCTTAACTTGACGGATATCGAATACAATGAAATGGGGTTTTGTGACGACGAATTGTTTACCGACTGTTGAAAAGAGTAGTTATTTTACAACAAATGTGGCTTTGTAAGGGCTGAAACTGAATAAAATATTAAAAAAAACGCGAAATATATTAGTGACAACTCGACGCTCTAAAGCCGTGGTCGCCGCACTGGTATTTTTTGTGTTTTGAACCGTTAAAAGTGTTATATTTAAATGTGCATTGTAAACTACAGATAATACTTGGACGAATCGTAAAAAACTTGGCTTTGCAGATTAATCATAATAGTCTTTAACAAAAGGTAAACAAAGAAGAGTCGGGTCGTTTCGTATCGAGTTTTAAACCGTTTTTTTGTGTATGACTGTAATAAAACTACGAGCATTAAGCTTTGAAAATAAAAAAATGTGTTCAAGCACTTGTCTAACACTTGCTTGTGGCTAAAAACAATCCTAAAGTTATTATATTTACTAAGAAAATATTATTGTGTATACAATGCTTTATCTAGTTAAGTTTCAGTACATAACGAGAAATACTTGCAAAGAATTAAACCTTTGAAAGCCATGAATAAAGCAAAGGAGGATGGTTAACATCGCCAGCAACATTCGCCCCGCCTATTTTATAGCTGAAATTTACTACAGCTTAACCAGCTTAAGAAGAACCCAGCTTTCAATAAACAGTCTTAATAAACCAATCAATACCATGTATCAACTTAATATTGTTGAAACAAAAGTTGTATGCGATCGCATGGGCTTTATTTCAATGGTAATAAGATCGATGTTTAAAGGATTTGTGTTGGTAATTTGGTTCGTGGTTTTGTGTGTGTTAGTGCATTTACATTTTAGTATGCGGTGACAATGTTTTAGGTTAATTTGGGACATTTCACGATATTGCTTTACGAATTAAAAAAAAAAACAGTTTTGACGATTTAAAACGTGAAATGTATTAGTTAATTAACTACAATTAATTTTAACTATGGCCTAACATTTCGGATGCTTAGCAGCAGTTGCGGTAACGGGGGGGCTGTGACCACGGTATCCGAGACTTACCACGGTTTTAAATATCATTTATTATTGACTGTGTACGCGGGTAAAAAAACATATCTAACGGTTGAAAGAGCAAAATGTATTCATTGATTTATTTTAGATACGGCCAGACATTTTCTGATGCTTTGAAGCAGTCGTGGTTAAAAATAAGTGAAAAAAGTTAAAAGTGTTTTATTTAGACCATCCATTATATATTTTTGGAATATATTTACATATTGGATTATTAATTATTTTAAAAGTAGAGTGAACAAACGTTAAACGGTTACTTTTAAATCAAGATTCCTTATTCCCTAGAATTCAAACTAAATGTGTCAATGCAAACAACTTTAAAATTATCAGAAATAAGTCCCAAAAAGTCCAGAAACCATGGTCCCCTTACTCCAGAGATACTTGCAAGGAATAAATGTCAATTGAGATGGAAGACGTCGAGGCACGGATGCGAAGAATTGATGATGCAGTTATTGAACTCCGTAATAATCAGATTCTAGATGTTGAGATAAATGTGTTGTAGGCTTTGTTGTTTAGGATTTCAACCTTCGTTTCTTCTTCTTTGTATTTCTTTGGAACCACGCTACTACAGGATTTGGTTTTAATCATAAAGGTGGACAGAGGGGAGGTAAAATACCCCAGCCGTATAACATCTACACACGATGCGCTGTCGATCTATTTTGGGTTTGGATATTCGAAAATCCACAGAATGAAACCGAAACGCGATTGGACTTCACGGCGTTTTTGTTATTCCTTTTTATAACCACGCATTTTATAACCAGATTTCCAAATGTAGTCCGACATGTAAAAATTATAAATTGAATTGAAAATTAGTGTATTGATAATACTGGACCCGGTGGGATTCGAACCCAAGACCCGATGATTATTATCCGTACATTGCTACCATTACACAAACTAACCCGTCAAATCACTTTGATTTATGAATATTACGATGAATATGTACATATTTATTGTCTATAGTTTACACGAGTAGTACGCATTTAAATAAAAAAGTTTAAACGGTTTAAATTGCGAAGTATATTTGTTATTGTTTATTTATTTTAACTTAATTTGAATTTGAATATAACACTTTTTAAACCGTTAAAAAACTAATCTATTCAAACTTATATTAGTTAAAATCTTAATTTTTAATCCATTTTGTATCTTGTCTGATTGTCTTGATAGCGCGAGAGATGTTAGAATCCCCGGTAAAAATATATTTAAACAGTGTCCGTCTTTCAGGATAAATGGATGAACTACTTATCAATGAATCGACTTGGGAAACAGATACAAAATATGTCTCCACCACAGATAATTGTATTTTGCTTTAACGAATATCATTTTATAGTCTGAAATTGGTAAACGTATGAA